TCCACTCCACTATACTGAATCAATTTCAACGAGCAATGTTCGGCCTTTATGGACAATATATAAACAAAAATTCAGAGGGAGTGAATAGAGATTAGGAGCAAGAAGAGGGGGGACATGACCAAAAGTAAAATCTTACCGCCGCCGATGATCAGTGGTGATGGAGAAGGTGGGGAAGTTGGCTGCGTTAACAGTGATGGTTCTGTTGAGATGAGGGTCTGAGGAGTTGCAATTTTTTTTAATCTTCCCAGTCCGCACGAACGGAGGGAGTTACCAGTGTTCTCTTTCAGTTGTAGGGTATATGTGTTATATTTGCTACAAGTGTTGTATTTGCTATAACACTTTTAAAGAAAAGTGTTATCTTTTGTTCTCATCGTATAGCGCTTGGTAAAACGAGTGTCATCTGTGTGTTCCCTTCTCTTAGCATAGCACTTTCTTAAAAGAACGTTATATAAGAAGTGTTATCTGAATCAATTTTTGTTGTAGTGCTTGTATTGTTATACCATGATGCCATTTGGATTAAAAAACGTTGGGGCCACTTACCAGCGTCTTGTGAACAAGATGTTTGCCAATTTGATAGGTCATACCATGGAAGTCTACGTAGACGACATGCTCGTCAAGTCGGTGCACGCTTCTGATTATATAACACACCTTCAGGACATGTTCAGTATCCTCCAATCTTATTCCATGGTCTTAAATCCTAAGAAGTGCACCTTCGGAGTTGAGTCCGGAAAATTTTTAGGCTATATGGTCAGCCAACGGGGAATCGAGGCCAACCCGGTCAAGATAAAATCCATTCAAGATTTAACTCCCCCGACCTCGGTCAAGGGTGTTCAGGCCCTAACTGGCCGACTTACAGCGCTTAATCGGTTCATCTCCAAGTCTACGGATCGTTGCAAACCGTTTTTTGAAGCAATCAAAAAAGGGAAGCGCTTTGAGTGGACCGAAGAGTGTCAAAAAACACTCACCAGCATTAAAGAAACTCTTGCTTCCCCTCCGACGTTACAGAAACCGAAACCCGAGGAAATGCTGTTCTTGTACCTCGGAGTTAGTGATTCAGCGATTAGCGCCGTCTTGATACGTGAAGAGGGGATGTTGCAGTCACCTATTTATTATGTCAGTAAGACCTTACATGATGCCGAACTACGCTATCCCCCTATGGAGAAGCTAGCGTTTGCACTCATTACTGCTGTTCGAAAATTGCAACCTTATTTCTAAGAACATTCCATAACTGTCCGTACTTCATATCCGCTACGACAAGTCCTGCACCGA